ACACAGGCTGGGGAGGCTGGGCCAGCAATGCAAGCACTCACCACAGGCCTCCGTGGCCACAAACCCCACAGATGCGGGGACATTATGGGGGACAAGTCAGTGTCCCATTCCACAGCTAAGAACCAAAAAAAAAAAAAAATGTTAAGTCCACATCCAGGCCCATCCAGCTATGGAGGAGTCAAAGACACAGCCATCCGAATGTAAGTGCTAAGGCCAAGCTGCTGGGATTGGCAGTTAGCTACGAGCTCTTCCCTTTCATTCCATTGTGTCACTAGGACCCAAGAGGTACGGGTAACCCACCCGCTCCTCGTGAGCATAGGGGACAAATACAAGGACCATCAGGAGCAGTAAGAGGAAGGAGAACACAGGAGGGAGACTCGGAGAGGGGCTTCCATGATGGGATGCCAGGGCAGAAAGTGTCCCGTCCAGACTGAGTGCCCCACCCCAGCCACCTGGAAGCCAGAGGTCAAGGTGCTCCAGCTGTACCTGCCTCTTAGAGCTTATGGCAGAAAAGACTGGGCAGGCTCTGGCAAGGCAGATACAAACAGTAAGTTGTAGCCCAACCCTCTGCCTTCTTCCCACACCCTGAGTTCCAGCCTCTGTGCATCACCCTGAGTCCTTCAGGGATGGACACGGGCTCCCTGGAGACCCCCATACACACCATCCAGTTTTCACCGGACTGTCTGGAACAGGATAACCCTTGGACCAGAGACCCCTCGAGGGCACAGACACACCTCAACCCCTGTAATAGGGGCTTCAAGGAGGACTCCCACAAATACTGTTGAAATCATACCATTTCAGAACATTGAGGATGGACTTGAAGGCTCAGAGAGTAAAGGCCTTTGTCACAAAAGCCTGATGACCTGAGTTCCGTCCCAGGATCCACCTAACGGTGAAATGGGAGAGCTCACACCCTCCACACAAATGCTGCGGCATGCACACCCCCATACACTTCATGCACACACACACACACACACATACACACACACACACAAATAAACCTTTAAGTTTTTAAATTATGTCATCAAGCCCAGATGTTGTAGACACCACAGTTGTCATTTATCTGCCCCAGCGTCAAGCCCCAGCCAGGCCAGCACTGAGGCGTGCCTGTGGTGTGAGCTGAGGGAACCATTCCGAATGTGCGGATGAGTGCCTGACCTGGGATACCCTCTCTGCTGACAGCCCCAGTCCTGGGGAGTCCTGTGATGTGGCCAGTGCCCAGACAGCGAGGGCAGCCTGCTCACCTGGATCCATTTGAGATGCTCCCGGCTTGCTCGAACGAGTTGGGTCCATCCAGACTTAGCTTACTTCTGCTGGGTGCCCCATTCCACCAGAGAGCCTCCCAGTGGGTGACAGCTCTCTGACACAGCCCCGGCTCTGTGCCTCACCTACCCTGGCTGTCCACATGTACTTTGACTCCTCTGTAAAAATGACAGCTGTGCTACAAAGTGGGAATAGGGAGCTTCATTGGAAAACCTGAGTCCCAGAGGTGCTGGACAAGCTTCTTAGAGGAAGGGGACACCTGAGGTCATCTTGTGGGCAAGAACTCAGCATTCCACAGAACTATATCAGCGAGTGACTGTGTCTACACAGACACCCCTTTTCATCCACTTAACCCTGTTCTTTCCTCGTTGGCAACTCTCTGTCACCATTTCCCTGTGCGACACGTGGAACTCTGACACTGCAGAGTCAGTGCAGCAAAGGAGACATGGTGTCTGTCCCCCTGAGACCATGTCACATCCCACGGGGTAGGAGAGAGACACTGACCCTGCATGATAAACAGCTGGGAGCAGGCTCCCAGGCAGAGAGAGCAGAATGTGGGTCAAGGAATGGTGAGTGTCGAGCCGGAGAGCCCAGTTTGCAAAGGGCTCCCTGAGAATGCAGTACTGGGACACCCCAGGGGTCTAAGGAAAGAACACCCCCACAGAAGGAAGAGACAGAGCCAGCGACCTGAGCCACCAGCTAGGTGGGCGTGAACCAGCAGGGACGTTTGCAGCTGAGCCAAACAAGACAGAGGAGCACCGCAGGAGGCAGAGAATTGGGGGTGCTGTGAGGACTGGGCGTTTCGCCCCACAGGGAGCAGACAGTAAGGGCTGGAACAGAAGCAGGATGTCTGGAGGGATGAGGCAGATGGAAACCCTGATTTGGCCTAAGTGGTTCGATTCTGGGTTCGGGAAGTCAGAGTTGGGGCTGCAGGAGACTGTGGAGTGTAGACCAGTAGAGCTGTCTCTGTGACCTGAATCCTGGGGTTGAGGCTGAAGGCTGAATTCTCACGTGAAGGAGAGGGGTGTGTGCCCCAGAGGGGAAAGACTTTCAGAGCAGCAGATCCAATGGGACGTTACAAGAAAAACCAAATTGTACAACCGTGTGAGGTGACTGGAATTCTCGTAAGAATGTGGGCGTATGCACGTGGCCTCATCTAATCCACAAACGTGGTAGATGGTTATTTCCACAGTTCACCTGCTGAGCAAACAGAGGTAGAGATGACAAGTAACTGCCCTCCATGGAGAACTGTATCTGTTCCAGGAGGACCCTTGAGGCGATCCTGGGAGTGTAGTGATGACTGCTTGAACACCTGAGCCACCAGGTGGCTCTGGTCCCCTCTGAGATAAGGTCTCACCATCTGCAGATGGTCGCCGTGGTACCCTGGACCAGGAGATGCAGAATAAATGGGTGTAACTGGGTGATACCTCCCTGTTGTACATCTCCACCTCCTCACACTGAGGATGACTGTGGTCCCAAGTGGCCCTCAGATCCAGCTACAAAGATGCCCGAGTCAGGGCCCCACCCCAGGCGGCTGAAATGACTCACAGCCAAAGCCACCCAGGAGGAGTGGGGAGAGGAGCTGTGAAGCCATATCAGTTAGTAAGAGTTCTCATCAAATATTTACAGGGGAATTGATCTCTCTGGCGTCCGCCAGGCCGCTGACGGGCCCCTCCCTTCCTCCCCCTCACCTTCTACACCCTTAGGCCTCCTGTTCCATCCTGCCATTCACCCTTGGCCATCCCGGGTGCTAGATGTTCTCTACCCCTTCGTGGAGTTCCCATCTCTCCCCAGCCCTCCAACACCCCAGTCCACGAGCCACTTGCCCGTTTTGAATGCCAGCATGTCTGGCAACAGTGTAACGTGACTTCCAGACCTAGATACTATGAAGCAATGGGTTGGGAATCTCCAGCTAGGGGGTTTGCTGGATCGAGGTGTGAGAATGGGGGGTGGGAAAGGGGGTGATACGGGGCATACCCCTTTCTTCAGAGCTTACACACTGTCCCAGTTTTGAGCTTTTGCATAGACAGGGAAGGGACCAAGCAGCTTTTCTGAGGGGGAGAGAGGATGGGGGGGGGGGAATAGAGAAGGAAGGGAGGGAAGAGAGAGGACTTGGGTGCCGGAGAGAGAGAGGACTTGGGTGCCGGAGACTATCGGCTTGGTGAATGTGTTCCAGGGTGACAGGAAGAGAGCAGGGCAAGGCTAACACCCATGGTTAGTGACCAGACAGGCAGGGTTGGTGCCAGGCTGTGGCCGCATGGCATCCCTTGAGCATCATCACAGTGGCTCCAGCATCTGGACAGCTGTGACCTTCACCCAGCCTGGTGAAGCAGGCCTGTTCGTGCTTTGCAAGGAAACCCAGCGGATGCAAAGAAAGAAGCTACCGGGGAAGAAAGCAGAAACAAGGCCCAGTGTAAACTCTGGTGGGAGAGGCTCTCCTGCCGATGAAAATGGGACATAAAGACAGTGGGGTCATCTGTGGGGGACAGAGGGTACTGGAGATGGCCTTGCAGGCTGACACTCTGCCGGCTGCCCCAGGCTGAGGTAGACACAGCCAGGCTGAGAGGTGAGATGTGCAAATGGCAAAGGGATCGGGCAGACACAGAAGGAAATGGGAAACAGCCATGCAAGCCCACCCCTACCTCCCCGCTACCCCATGCTCTCACTACGTGAAGAGTCTCGTACTATGGGCTCAGGGGAGTCTGTGTGCTTGGCATGGGGCCGCCCCTGTCTTTCCCACTCCCTCACCTTAACAGCCACTCAGCAAGGACATGATCCCTGCTGATGTCCTCTTGAGGGTCTGCTCCAGCGGGAGACATGCCTGTCCTCTCAGGTGATGGACCTCTCCGGCCGCACAAACGAAAGAGTGGAGGCATCATCTGCCCAGAGGGACAATGCGGGGACTATGGCCCGCATTAGGGACTAGAGTAAACCAGTCTCCTCCCTCTGCAGCCTCTCCTGAAGCCTCGGGTTGAAGGAAGGGCTCCTTGCTGAGCTGCTTGTCTGCCTGTAATGAGTTTTCCTCACAAGTACCCAAGAGGCTCAGGTGGGGCCCAGACCTGCATCCTCAGCTCAGGCTCCCCGGTGATACTGGCACTGAGGACCCAGTGGGGGTCAGCATCAAGGAGGTCCTCATCCCTTCTCTGGGCTGCCGGCTTTCAAGGGGGCAGGGAAGAACCTTAGTGAGATCTCAGAGGCCTGGCTATAGCCATCATCTTGTCGTGATGCCTTCTGCTCCTATTCCAGCAAGGTGAACTATGAAGCCATCCCTTTTACAGGAAACCAAGGCTCGGGGCCCCACGGGGGAAGAGGCTTGGTGGCAAGGGAACAGGGTGCTCCTTGAGTACATGTGTATCTGTGTCCAGGGAATGCTGGCTTTTAGTGGTCACCACGGCTAGGGTAGAAGGAGTGAAGTTAAATCCATGTTGATTCCTGTAGCGATACCTGAGTCTGCAATGGTCGTGATAGGTGATTGGTTTTTAAAATCTGGTGGGAAAAGAGAATTCTGAAGTTGTGTGGTCATGTCTGGCAGGGATAAGTGGCCACAGCCAGGACCGTGTGCCCTGTGTCAGTCCCTCTAGCCTGGCACCTCCTGCAGCCCTGCTAGGGCAACCCCATCCTAAGGACCTGGGAGATGCCATGGAAGTAGTGTGTGGAGATCACAGAGCCTGGATTAAAAGGCAGCATCCCTCATGGGCTTCAAAGGGTTCTAACCAGACTTTGCTCTCCACCTACAGGGCAATCAGGACGCCACGGCTCCGCCTGAAGCAATGGCCCAGCCCTACCCCCCTGCCCAGTACCCTCCTCCACCTCAGAATGGAATCCCAGCTGAATATGCCCCGCCTCCGCCACACCCCACGCAGGACTACTCCGGCCAGACCCCAGTCCCCCCAGAGCACGGCATGACCCTCTACACACCAGCACAGACGCACCCTGAGCAGCCAGGCACCGAGGCCAGTATACAGCCCATCGCTGGGACCCAGACAGTGCCGGTAAGAGACTCTTCCCACACTGGCCAGCCCAGGACTGTGGCGCAGAGTGTCCCTGGTTCGTGCTGGCTGGGTAGAACTTTCTAGAAAGGGCCTCTAGCTATATAAGGAGGGCTGGACTTCACTGTTGGGCATCTTCCCCCGAGATCATCACCCCAGTGAGTCTGTGTCCAGCCCTACTTCAGGCACTCCACACCTAACACCAAGGTTGCTGCAGTGATCCACCGAGGGATCACAGAGTGGGGATGTGACCTCACTCACCCCAAGCCGTCTTGGGCTTCAGGCGGCCCCTCTCACCTCGTCTGGGAGGTGGGAAGTGTGGTGGTGGCTGTGGATGTCCTGTTAAGGGGAAGTAAGGCCAGAGGCTCTCGGGCTGCCTAGGGTCTCAGAAGGAAGCCAGGGTGGGCGGTGAATGGTGGGCGGTTGTGGAGCTGTCTCGGGTGGCAGGCCCCCCTATCCTTTCTAATCACTTGTAATCTACCTGCTTGGCTGCCCTCCAATCAGATAGCTTCAATTACGCGGTTGTAATGCAGCTCAGAGGCGAAAGTGCTGAGCGCTGCACTTCTCAGATTTCCTCATGGAGAAAGGAGTGGGAAAACAGCCGCCTGGGTGGGCTGCGTCCCAGAGCCCTCTCCCAGGCTCTGTCCTGAGGCCCCCTCCTAGGCCCTGGCTGCTGCTACCGTGGCTTAGGACTCTCTGGCCCTTCCCGTTATGTTCCCTGTGGGCCTTCCCCTCCTTGCTCTGGGGCCTTGGGTTCATCCACCCATCCCTGCTGGCTCCATCCCAGCAGCCAGCTGCCGGCTGGCAGGGCCTGGGCAGGAGGCCAGCTCGCTCTGCTCTCCCCAGGCAGAGTGGCACCACCCTGGCGTCTCCCCAAGGGCCCCTCCAGCTGTGCTCTGTTAATCTCACCCCCACATCCAGCCGGCTCCACAGATGCTGTATGGACCCAAAAACTGCCCTCTCTGTGCATGGGCAGGGACCTTCTCCTCCACCCCCCTCCCTGAACCCCCCGAGGAGAGTCTGCCCACTGTACCTGGGCTGCGCCTGACCTTATTCCATGCCCAGCCAATGCTCTTCCTTCCTGCACCAGCACTACCAGCACGAGTCTGCTCTGAAGCCAGCAGAAGCCCCACTCCAGTGCAGGACATCTGACCCTCATCCCCCTCCCCCAACCACCAGGATCCTTCGAGCTGTGGGTCACAGACTGGAAAAGCCAAACCCCTGGATTACAGAATTGGGGGTCTGGCTCCAAGTCGCCAAATGCACACATATTCTCTCCATGCTCAGGATAGCCAGGTCACCCCAGAGTTAAAGAGGTTCGCCACAGATAAGTCACAGCCGTGTGGCCCAGGCCTTCTCTGATAGACTGTAGCGGACACAGTCCCCCGTGACCAAACCACTTGTGAACAAACGATGGGTTTACGGGGAGGGGCCTCTCGTGAGCCATGGGGCTTCAGCTGGCGGAAAGCAGGCCAGTGTCGCAGATGCCATAAGAGGGGACAGATAGCTTTAAAATTCCACAGCAGAGACCAGCACTAAGGTCTCTGGACACCTTGCGGCTGCCAGACAGTCACAACTACCAGGATCTGAGTCAACCTCTCTGCCCTGCATGACACAGGCTGAGTGCCAGGCTCCCGGCAGTTCTGTGGTGCAGAGGGGGTGGGGCCTTGGGCTCCCCTAGTCAAAGACAGAGATGTCAGGGGGCTGGGGTGAAGACCCGCTGCCTGGGAGCACCTGAAGCAAACTGAGCTTTGAGGTTTGGTACCCAAATGTTTCCTGTACCAGAGAATGCCAGAGCCCTGAGGGACACGTATCCCAGATTGTCCTTTCTCCGACTGGAGTGTTCAGGTCCTATAAGGGTGTCAGGGTCACAGTACCAGATCTTCTAATATGTCTATGTCACCATGAGGCCGAATCTGCCACTCTGACCTGGGGAAGCTAGAATGATTAGACTAGTAAGAGGACATTGAGGACGCTGAGGGTTACCCCTCTCCAAAAAGCTGCAGGTGCCTGGGGGCCTTGCTGTCTGAGCTTGGAGCAATTATGCAAGCAGAGCAGCCCACCTTGGGGGGAGCTCAGTGGAGGACAGGTGAGCTCTGTTCTGAGAATCCAGGAGCTGTTAGTCTGCCCCTCCCTCAGCGGAGCTGCCTGACCTGCAGGGAAGCCAGCATGTGCTGGCCAGATCCTGTGTCACCAACCTGCCTCGTGGACACTGGGAGGACTCTTTCCCGGCCTTTCCCTAAGCACCCTGAGACTGGGATGGAGGGCTACCAGGACGGCAGGCAAGTTGCCTTCAGAGCTCAGGCTAGACCTGGCTTCTCCCACCTGGCTCAGGACCTCCCCTGAGCTTCCAGACATGGCCACCAAGTGGTGCCTCCCCACTTCATTCCTAGGATGTGTGTGCAGCAGCATCCGGCTTACATCAGGGACACACCCACCATGGGGCCCTCCCCCCTGAGATATCTCCTCCTGCTGTGAGCAGTACTGGTCCACATTCACACCTCGCTAAGTCAGCTCTAAAAGGCTGATCCTGCCCCAAGCCAAGGATGGTACAGCGGTAGCAGGTGGCCCAGCAGCTGGTATACCTGCCTTGCCATTCATTCCCTCAGAGACATGTAACCCGGGCCTCAGCTCCGAAAGGCTGTCTTTGTTTTGGGACAGAGCCTCTAGGTGGCCTGAACCTGTGGTATCCAGCAGGGCTCCCCACTTTGGAGCATTTCCAGCTCAGAATCAGGGACCCCAGTTCCGACTGGCTCAGGACTCTTACTGACAGCCCACTGCCCAGACAAAGACCCTGAGTAACAGAGATGGCTGACCCCAAGGGACCCAGCCCATCAACCATTTGTTACTCTCAACAGCCTTGGCCACCAGGGACCTCAGAAATCCTTAGGCCAGTTTCAACAGTTTTGCCCTTAATCCCAGTGACTGTCACCCCTGGTCATTCCCGAGACAGCCGCTCATTGCCACACAGGAGACCTCTGTTCTGGGTCCCATCATCCGGAAGGAAGTCCCTTCTGAAAGGGCCGTCCCCACCTGTGATCCCAGCAGGAAACCTAGAGAGCCCAGAGCTCCTAGGCATGGATTCAGGGTCCCATGTCTCACCATCCAGGGCCACCTGCTGGAGGCAACACAGAGTGTTGAGTGTCACCATCAGTAGGGCTATGGTGACTCTGCCACATACAGGGGTCCAGCTCACGGGTAGAGGAACCCTCCTCATGCACTCATTAATTCACTCGGGGTCACATGAGTGCCAGGGATGGAAGCCCACTGGGCTCACTCGACAGGAGCTCTTGGAAAGACTGGTGTACACCCGGAAAATACCAGGACAGGGCCAGCAAAAGGTGTTGCTGGGTGCAGGGGTTTCTTCCATCAGGAGGGTCCCGGCTCCTTGGCTGACCAACAACAGAGTAAAGTGGGCAGATGGGATAGAAGGAAAGAAAGAAGGCATGAGCCCCAAACCAGGCCACAGATGGGACAGCTCACTAGCCTAACGGGGGGGGGGGGACAAGTCACGTGGTCAGTGAGCTGCAAATGCTGCAGACGCGTGGCCAGCGTGGTGTGCTAGGCAGCGTCCAGGCAACAGAAGCGCAGACTCGGGAGCTCTGAAAAGATACTCCAGGAAGAAAGGCGTGTCAGGGCCACATGCAGACAGCCCTGCCTCCCAGGCCCTCTGGCTGTCCACCGGAGTGGCTGGGTCATCACTCGGATACTCTGAGGGTGTGGGAGAAATAGAGCGAGGCTGCAGAATGGAATTCCCACAGCCAGCTTGGTTTATGCCAAGCTTGGCTCTGGGCCAGTGATAGGGTCTCCTGGTCCTTCAGCTGCCCAAGGCCCTCCTAGAACCCCTCCCAGAACCCCTCCCAGAGGCCCTCCCAGAGCCCCTCCAAGAACCCCTCCCAGAGCCCCTCCCAGAACCCCCCAGAACCCCTCCCAGAGCCCCTCCCAGAACCCCTCCCAGAGCCCCTCCCAGAACCCCCCAGAACCCCTCCCAGAACCTCTCCAGAACCCCTCCCAGAGCCCCTCCCAGAACCCCTCCCAGAGCCCCTCCCAGAACCCCTCCCAGAGCCCCTCCCAGAACCCCCCAGAACCCCTCCCAGAACCTCTCCCAGAGCTCCTCCAGAACACCTCCAGAACCCCTCCCAGAACCCCTCCCAGAACCTCTCTCAGAGCCCCTCCCAGAACCCCTCCCAGAACCCCCCCAGAACCCCTCCCAGAACCCCTCCCAGAACCCCTCCCAGAGCCCCTCCCAGAGTCCCTCCCAGAGCCCCTCCGCTCACCCTTCCCAGGTGACTTCTCCTCTGTGTAGAGCTTGACAGACCCAAGCAAGGGGAATCAGCCTTCTCAACTTTGCCTTGGCCCCAGGAGCTGGCACCCAGCCTTGAATGGGTAGAGGTGCAAAGCAGAAGGGTCTGTGGTGGCCGCAGTGGCAGGTCACTAAAGCAAAGCCAGCATCCTGGGAGAAGTTGGGGGCCTGTGGTAGCTGATTCTTCTCTGCTCTGAGGACTGCAAGCCGACACTTGGAGAAGGAGGGAGGGAGAGGGAAGGCACACTTCTCAGAAGGAAGGGTCAGCCAGGCCACCTACACCACTGTGATAAATGGTAGGAAGGCCTTGCCCCCCTGCTCAGGACCAGCAGTATTCAATCACACTAAGGGGTTTCTTAACGCACCTTACAGTTTTATAGGCGCTGAGCCCATTTACTTGCCTCTGTATACTGCTGAGTAGGACGGGGGAATCAAAGAAGCCCCCGACACCCCAACTTCAGTAGTGCCGTCTTGTGGCCCCCATCTCTGGCCAGCTTACTTCGACAGGGATTCCTGTGGCCACCTGGTAGTGCCCATTTCTGCCCTCTGCTGGTCAGAAGCTAGCATTGCAGCCCACTAACAAGCTTGATTCCTCCAACCCAAGCTGAAGATGACTTAATTCTTAGGGACGCCTGCAGCTGCCTCCTGTGTAGCTTCCACAGGGAAAGGGGACCACACCTCCCATGGACAGAATATGGAGCTCATAGCCCAAAAGTCATAGACTGCTGCTTTGGCAGTATTGCCTTTGTCCAGGGGTCCAATCGTCCCTTTGGAGTCTAGCCAATATCCACTCTCTCCAACAAGACCAAGGGTAAGGAGGGCAGCATTGGAACTGAAGAGTAGAACTCCCCCAGAAGCCCTGAGGCACCCCAGGAGAGTCAGCCAGCTCCCACAGAGACAGCCCGCTGCCCTGTGTTGCCCCACAGAGGTGGATCTGGCGCCTAACAGACCACACATGCACCCTCCGGCCCTCTGTGACTGTCCTGCTACCTGTGTCTTCCTGCCCAAGCCCAGCCCCCTTCACTGGGCACCTGGGTAGTGTTAGCAAGCCCCAAGCAATAACTTCCTAGCTTGCCAAGCTTGAGGCTTCTAACCACCCACTGCCTCTCGGAGGCACCGGGGTCGGGGCTGCCGTACCTACAGCTCCAACATGGGGCTCGGGAGACACACATTAACCAAAACTGTTCAGACACAGGTGGCTGGTCTGCTGAGATAGATGTGGGGCTGTCCACCTGAGTAGGGGAGAGGGAAGGAGGCTCCCTTGCTCATGGCTGTACCATGTAGGAACTCACCAGTGTTGCAAGGCAGAGTTGCATCTGCGGGACATTTGGGTGTGAATTCTGCAGCCCCACAGGCCTCTCAAGACACCCCAACAGGTACTGGGCCTTTGTCACCTGGGCCTTCTGCTCTGGCCATCTAGGGCACTTGCTGCCTGAAGCCTCGTCAGAGCCTCTTGGCTGAACACAGGAACATAAGGGACTAGTCTGCCTCTCCAAAGGAGACAGGAAGGCCAGAGAGCCACTCAAGCTGGAGCCCGGAAGCCCACCCCTTGCCGCTTGGACACAGCAGGTCTTGGGGAGACTGTCCATTTGGGCTCCATCTTTTTCAGCTGCAGCACAGACCCAGGCAGTGTTACCTTGGGTACAGCATCCCTGACCATCCTGCCTCCATGCATTCCTGGAATACAGTCTGCCCTGAAATAGACTGAGGACACCAGCGCTTCCTGGAAGGACCAGGGAAAGGAAGGCTGAGTCTCTCCCATCCAGCGCCCAGCAGCTGCCTCTGCTCCTCGGGCCACAGTGGGAACGGTTGTGACTAACGGTACCACACAGTACCTCCACCTTTGCCCCAGAAAGACTGAGAGTTCAAGGGATGTATCTTGGAGGTGATCCCTCCAAACCATGAGGGCCAGAGGGCGCTGGGATTGGAAGAGAGCCATCAGAAAGTGTGTGCTTAGCCTGGTGTTGCCATGCAGCTGAGTTCAGCCCCACTTGGAAGAACAGGGACAGTGAGCGCCTGCCCCTGTGTGTGCAGCCTCAGAGCTGCTATCCTGGACACTGAGGCTTTAGGGGTGAGTGGAAAACTAGGCAGACTGGCAAGCGTGTGACCTACCTGGCTGTGAACATGAAGACGGCAGGCCGGGGCGTCCAGGAGAGGAATTCCACCATCTTGGTCCAGATACCCACTCACCAGCCGGTGCTGAGGAAGTGCCGGCTGGTCTGCCTTTGCTTCTGCAGGGGAATCTGGGAATGGGTCTGGCTGAAGGCCTACCTCTCTGAAGATGTCTACATAGGCTGAGCCACAGGCAGGCTGAGCCTCAGATTTTCTGCCAGTCCTCCTAATGAACTATGGGGAGGTGGGCTGGAAACCCGAGTCCGTTCAAGTTCCCTGCCGGCCAGTGTGGGTCTAAAGAGGACAGACTGTGGGAGACCGGCCCTAACAAGTAGAGCAGCCCCTGCGAATGGAGTGAAGCAGCCTGACAGGGTCAGACGGAGCCTTGGGACATAGCACCACCCTCAGGAAGCCGGTCAGTCCTAAAACCGATCCGACCTGACACAGAAGGACCCCTGCTAGCATTGGGCAAAGAGGCCACTGAGGGTGGCCCTCAGGAGAGAGGACCGTGCTGGAGGGCTCATCGCAGACCTGGCCAAGGAGGCCTGAACCTGCTCTAACAGGAGAGGCGGTCTCACAGGCTCACCAGGACAGAAAAGATGGAGTATCAGGGCTGCCAGCTGAACCTTGAGAACTGTCCTACCTACCAGAATCCCTTTGGTGACTGCTGGCCCAGGGGGTAGAAAGGGTTGGGATGGAGAGAGAGGGTGGGCCCACACAGTCTATGGGGCTGCCTCACAGCCTAGTCTTCTCTCCGCAGCGGGCAGATGAGGCAGCCCAGACGGACAGCCAGCAGCTCCCCACGGAGAAGCAGCAGCCCAAACGACTACATGTCTCCAACATCCCCTTCCGGTTCAGGGACCCCGACCTGCGGCAAATGTTCGGGGTGAGTGTGTGCGCCTCTGCTCCTCTGTCCCCACCCCCCCCATCACTGCAGAGGGTCTGTGCCAGGAGGAGGGAGGGTTCTGGGGTTCTTCTCATCCGACCCAGTCAGCTCTCCCCTAAATCTGTTGGCACAGCACAAGAGCAGGATAGCCAAGCTCAGGGTAGGGCTCTCACTCATATGTCACCAGTTTCCAAGGGCCATAGAGTCCCCGGGGCCCCGACAGCCTACCTAGAGGCAGATTTCTGCTCCCAGAGGGACAGCCTGGCCTCCTGGCCTTAGACAGCCTCAGTCTCTTCTGTGTACCTAGGAAAGACAAGGTTCTGCTCTCCCAGGCTGTGCCCTGGCTCCCCAGGGGAGGCTCAGCTTGCAAAATGCAACTGATTGGCACCAAGCAGGTGGCAATGCCCTTCCCAGGTCCTCTGAGTGTGGCCTTAGATTTTGCACTGCTGGGCTCCAGAGAGAGTACCCTACCAACCTCATGCCAGGCTGCCCCAGAGGCTTGCCTTGCAAGACAAGTTCTGGTGTCTGTGGGTGTTGGGGCTGCTGTGGAGAAGAACCCTGGGGAATGTGAGGCAGCCTCCTGAGTTCCTTGGCTGCAGAGGACCATGTGATTTGCCTGTGTTCCTTCTCTCTGTCTCCGCCCGTGTCTCAACTCCCCTCTCTCTGTCCAGCACCTGTTCCTTTTTTACCATTCAACTCGGGCCTGAGCCTCACCCCCTGCTCAGTTTTTCTCACACAGCTGGGCTACACAGAGCAGAGCAGAGGGCCTCTGAGCAGCCCTCGCGTGACCCTAGAGTTGTACTGCCAATCTTGGGGTGGGTCTCGCTGGATCAGTGGGAACCGTCAGATGATGAAGTTCCCCAGACCTCTTAATCTGGGATTTCAGGGGACTCTGAACTTCTCTGAGCTTGGACACCTTGCAGTAAACGGCTGCCACTATAGACAGTCATGGACTAGGTCCCTCACCATGGACCCAGTCACAGGGTCCTAACAGACAAGCAGAAACCAAGTGCTACTGTTTTTTTGGGTTCATATAGAATGAGGCAAAGGGCTCCCCTCTTCTCAGAACCTGCAGACAGGGCCCTGTAGCTACCTGCCCTCCTTGGCCCAGGAGATTATGGGCTAAGGACCTCGCTGGTGTGTGGGGCTGTGGGTCACATGTTCGCGGTCTCATCATCATGGTCTCATACACCACTGAGGGAGACAGGCTGACCATGGAGACTCCAGGCTAGCTATGGGACTGGAAGGGGTCAGCCAGAGCCAGAGCAATATCTCCTTCCAACCAGCAGGAGACCTGAGTTCCAACACAGCACAGCTGCGAACAGCACTGGGTCCCAGGAGTCACCAGTGTAAGGATCTGTGCCCCCCACACACACCCAGCCCCATCCTTGGTCCCTGGTCCTTCACTCTTAACATCTTCTACTTGCCCACCCCCACCTCAGAAGGGCCTGAAGGTCCCTTATCCCAATCAAGGATCCTGATCTGTCATCTCTACTGCCATTTCCCGGCCCCAGCACACGACCCTCCCCTCCTCCACAAGCCCATTCAAGCAAAGGCCTCTCAGTAAATTAAGCATGACACTAATAACCTCGGGCATTTCACCCCTGCTGTGGCCAGGGCCAAAAGGGACCCTGGCGCTGAGACACAGGCTCCTTAAGGAAGACGAAGTAGAGGAGGGCATCTCTGGGGTCCTCTTTCCCTGAGCCTGGTGGCATCTTGGGAGTGGAAGGGATAAGGCTGCTGCGGTCATAACTCCTTTCTCCTGTCTTCTACCCCCTCCTCTCTCTGTCTCTGCAGCAATTCGGGAAAATTTTAGACGTGGAGATCATTTTTAACGAGCGGGGCTCCAAGGTGGGTGCCGCACAGAGGCCGCCACCATTACAGCGCGCCGGCTGTAGGTCCCGCCAGGCTAACGTGTGAAATGTGCGTTTCGTTCCTGGAGAGCTTCGCGCCCGCTCGCCCGCCCGCCCGCCCGCCCGCCCGCCCGAGGACCCCTGAGCCACACGGGTGCTTGCATTCCCTGCTCTTCTGCCTCCCGCCCCCAGCTGTCTGTCGTTGCTGCCAGGCTGCGTCTCCTCTTTCGGGCTGCCAGGACCTCCTCCCGCTTGCTCCCCAGAGCCCCACTGCCCCCAGCCCCGGGCCTGGGTCCCTAAGCCCATCCAACCATTCACAACCCTGGAGGCTTGTGGGAGGGGCTGCAGAGTCTGTAGATCGGGAGGGCACCCAGCAGAGAAAAGCTCTGCTCCCGTCGTCTCCAGAAAGGCCCACGCGTACACCCTGGGCTCCCAGAGTGCTGTTCCCCGTGGAGCCCAGTCTCAGCCCCTCCCTCACCCAAGGGTTACAGTGGCAGGCATGGCCCCTGGCCAGATCAGCATCCCTATGGCCTGTCCTCCTGAGAGGTGTCAGACGTGGTGGGCTCAGGCTGGGCTCAGGCCCTGCCCTTGCCTGGGGCAATCTCTAGCGCTGGCACCAAGACAGACTTCCGACACTAGGGGGGGCTCTCCTTCACTCACCTGACTTGCCCCTCTCTCTCCCTCCCTCTCCCTTCCCCCTCCTCTCCTTCCCTTTTCTTATCCTGTCTTCTCCTGTCTGTCCTCTGCTCACAGGGTTTTGGGTTTGTAACTTTTGAAACTAGCTCAGATGCTGACCGAGCCCGGGAGAAGCTGAATGGGACGATCGTAGAGGGACGGAAAATTGAGGTGCTGAGATAAGTGTGCGGGGCGGCAGGGCAGGGAGGTCCTGGGCAGCATGCCCCGCCCCTGGGCCCCCCACCAGCCTACAAAGAGCCCAGCAGGGGCCTCTGGGTGCAGGAAGTGCTGCCCTGAGCCTGACCTCCCAACAGTCAGCTTTGCCGCTGACTCTTTGTCACTCTGGCCAGTGGAGGGTCGAGATTCCATCCGAGGTCCCCCGACTTCCTCTATCCTTTCCTCCTGGAAGGGGCCTGTCCCATCCACACACAGGGGCCCCAGCAAACATGTGAGGCCAGGTGGTCTCCAGGGCTATGAGCAGCCCTGACGAAGAGGGCCCGCCCATCAGGCAGCCTAAGCTGCCACCCTTGTTGAAGAAGAAGCAGAAGTAGCCACAGCTGGCCAAAGGCTAGCGCTGAGCAGAGTTGGGTGGAACCACCTAGGCCCTTTCTTCCTTTTTGGTCCCTCAGTGTGGCCTCGGGGCCCAGAGCGGGGCCCCTCCAGCAGGCCTGAAGCAGAAGGGACTATGACTAAAGAGGGGCCTAGAACTGTAGAAGTTAAAGGGCTTCTGACACCTCTGCCCAGGCCGCTAGGCTCGCACGTAGAGGATGCAAAGGCCCAGACCTCTTCCTCAGGCACTGCCTAGCTCACTCCTGCCTCCCTCACTTCCATCCTCTGTGTCATTGCCTCTACCCCAGGCAGCCTGGCTAGGCCTTCCCTATCTGGAAAACAGGACCTGGCCCCTGGGTTCTGTCTGTCTAATGTTTCCCCTACCCGCCTTGGCCCCCTGTGCCCCCATCAGAAAGTCCCATGCTGCAGAGAGAGGTCAAAGAGCCTGCCCCAGGAGAAGAGTCGCTTGCCCGTGGTGGTGGGAGTATCCATCCTGTGCGTACACACACCTAAGAGGGCCTTGGCAACTACCTGGAAGAGAATTAAGAATAGCAAGGAGCCTGGCCACTAGCAGGCCTAGGACTATCTCCAGGGCCCCCCTCGCCAGCAGCATTGGACTCTGCTCCCTAGACCCACTTCAGGAAAACACGAGGGTGGGCCCGGGTACTGGAGCCAGCTAGATATCAGCTTAGGGGCCTCAGTGGCCCTTCCCCCACAGAGGCCACACCCCAAGGGTAAAACCTGGGCGGCTGAGGGCCGGCAATGAAGCTGACTCATTCACTCTCTCTATCTCCGGACAGGTTAATAATGCCACAGCCCGGGTCATGACCAATAAGAAGCCTGGGAACCCATATGCCAACGGTGAGAGCCCAAGATTCCCAGCATGCTTCAGGGGCTGGAGCAGAAGCCTGGGGGAACTGAGGCAGCCAAAGGCAGGCCTTCCTGGCTCTAAGCCATCGCCCGCATCTGGTGTCTGGGCTTTCCCACTTTTGCCCTGTCAGAGAGGAGGGGTCAGCTGAGGCACACAGCTGGACTCACCCTCCGCACCCACACAGCCCCTGCGCGTTTCCCAGTGTGCACAGCTCCCAGAGGCCATATAGCGTGGCAGCAGATACAGACAAACAGTGACGACATCCTGGAAGACTAGAGTTGGGTCTAGAGGGGGTTAGGGACTTCATTGGAGCTTCTAGACATCCCCAAACCCCAATCTCTTCATCAGGAAGACAGGAATATGGAGGGCTGGCGGTGTGGCTCGGTTGGTAGAATATTTGCCTGGCATGCACAGAGCCCTGAACTGCAACCCTCTGCATAACATAAACTTGAGGTGATGGTGATCCCAGCACTTGCAAAGTAAAGGCAGAAGTATCATAGGTTCAAGGCCTGTTTGGGCCACATGAGACCCTACGTCCACTGCCTAGAGCTGGGGAAAAATGAGTGGCATCTCTAAGAGCCACCAAGGGCTGGGGACACAGGTGTCCGTGTCAAGTAAGTGAGATGTTGAAGACCAAAGGAGTGTGTTCATGGGACTCTCCCATGAAGGTCCCATGAAGGTCCCATGAAGCTATAGCTCCCAGCTGGCCTGCACCGAGTGAACTATGCATGAGCCCTTTTCCTTAAGTCTTCTGGTGCTAGTGGCTGGCTCCACAGAGACTTTTACAAGACTTCCAGTGAGAGCTCTGCCCCAAGGGTAGCTGGCTGTGTGGCCCTGCTGGCGAGCAATGTCTGTAGTTGGAGGTGCGGTACCACTCAGAGACAGCACAATGACTCGCCCCTGCATGGAGGTAGGATGGACCACATTTCAGCTTCCCTTGACTTCAGCGATGGGCCATACGCAGAGCTGGGTGGCCCCTGGTGCAGAAGCCCTTCAGCAGAGCTGTAGGCAGAGCCGACAAGTGGTCAGACAGCATCCAGGGGAGAGGGTGTCCTTGTTTTCTAGAGCTGGATAAACACCAGGACCAAAAGCAACTTGAGGAAGAAAGGGTTAATTTGCGGGCACATCCCTATCACAGTCTCACTGAGGGAAGCCAAGGCAGGCACTCAAACAGGAACCTGGAGTCAGGAACCAAAGCAGAGACCATAGGGGAGTGCTGCTTATGGGCTTGCTAGCACGGCTTACTCTGCCTGCTTTCTCGGACCCTCAGGCCCACCTGCATGGGACGGCACCACGCTCAGTGTGCTGCACCTCAATCATTGGTCAAGAACATGCCCCACCCGGCTTGCCTACAGGCTCCTTTGAAGAGCTGGTTTTCTAACTGAGGCCCCCTCAGCCCAGGTGATTCCAGCTTGTGTCCAGTTGGAAAACAAAACAAAACAGACAAAAACCCTAACCAGCACAGAGGGGGATGCTTAGGACTAGGTATCAAAGAATTATTCCTGCTTTTGCAAGGGTTAGGCTCTCAAAACTCTGGGAACTTGAAAGTGTCCTGGATTTACCTGAGTCCCTAGTGAATTCTGGCCAACTTGTGCTAGCTGCCCTTAGCACAGTCCTTCTTAAGGGGGACACGATGGGTTTGTGGGTGCTGTGATTTGGCAGTGGACATAGGGGCAACCATCCTGAGACTGGAGCTTGGCCTGAGGTCCACAACTTAGGCACACTTGACCCCACAGCACCCCAGTCAGCCACCACACCCTCACCCCCATTAAATTGATAAGGCCATTTGTTGTTTTTGTTTTTCTGGTTTTTTTGAGACAGAATTTCTCTGTGTAAAAGCTCTAGCTGTCCTGAAAATATCTCTGTAGACAAGGCTGGCCTCGAACTCAGAGATCCTCCTGCCTCTGCCTCCCAAGTGCCGGGATTAAAGGTGTGTGCCACCAACTGCCTGACAGCCCCCTGTAACTCGAGCTTTCTGTCCCAGCTGGTCCTGCAGCCCTTGAGCCCCAAATAAACACACAGACTCTATACTAGTTATAAAGTTGTTGGCCAATGACTAGGGCTTCTTATTGGCTAGCTCTGTCTTAATTATTAATGCATTTCTATTAATCTAAGTTATTCCTACATGGCCTTATTTTCCCGGAGAGCGCCTGGCACATTCTATCCTCCCTATTCCTCTTGGCAACTTCATCTGCCTACATTTCCCAGAATCCTCCTCATCTCCTTGTCCCACCTATCCTCCTGCCTTATTGGCCAACAGTGTTTTACTCATCAACCAATAAGAGAAACATATATACAGAAGGACGTTCCCCCATCAGCCCTCTTCTTTAATATCTGGATATTCTAATGGCTCAAGAACTTGAGCTTGGTCCTATGCAGGACTGAGCTTGGTCCTCAGTTTGAAGCTCTTGAGTCTGCATTTTGGGGCACGTGGGCACAATGATCTAGCAGTTGTGAATACCTGCCACTGTGTGAGCCACGGGCTCCTCAAACAACTCTCTGGATCCTTGGACTAGGTCCTAAGAGCAGAGTCATGACATATGCACTAGAAAAATCTATCTCCAATGTCAGCCACCCACAGTGAGAGGCTGCCGTCTGCAGCCATTGCACGCTAGCTCTGGCCAGTGAAAGGACCTGTTGGCTTCAGTGGGTCCACAGGGCTTGGGTAGTTCACAGCAGCTGTGACACAGTAGAGCCCCTTTCCACTCCTCACTCAAGAGCCTTGAGCCTGGGTAGACGGGAAGAGCAGAGGAGTTTGATGCAAAGAGTAAACCCAGCTCCAGCCAGCTGTGTTCTTTGCTGGCTCCTCCCTCCCGGTACTGATGCTGGCTGGTGTCAGGGAGTCTGCTCATCATGCTGTCAGAGAGCTACACCTGCTTCAGAGGAAAGCCCTGGGTTCACTGCGGCATAGCTGGGGTGGGGGGGGGGAGGGGTTGGCTCATGAGAGCCTTAATGCTTATGAGTACTATCAAGTTCGTCATTGGGAGTGTTGAGGTCCCCACTGTAGGGGACAGGTGCCCCACTTACAGTGGACAGTCATTCAGGTGGGTCCTCGGGGTGTCTCTGTCAGCCTGTGGGGTTCCACTCAAGCAGAGCCAGCAGGCGAGTAGACATTCTCAGGGCAAAGTGCCCAGGGCCCCTGGGGCAGGGTGCAGCCCCTGACTCTCCTCTTCCAGGATGGAAAAGAAGCCTAGGGGAAGGTGGGATCCAGACCAGTCCCAGGGTTCGGCTCCATTATGCCCCATCCTGAAAGACGAGATCTTGGGGTTTATCAATCCCCAGATTTCTTCCATGCAGACCTTAGCTGTATGGAAGATTCCAGAATCCTGGCCAGTTTAGACACCAAGTGGGATACTAGTGGCCTGAGGGTGGAAAATGCTTAGTCTAGCGTAGGTGGATAGACCGCCTGATTCTCCACTCAGGTGCCGCTTGCTCACCTGCCCTCCCGTGGGGCTATTAGAATCGGAGTTGGGAATTTCTATGTGCAGTCTGCTGCAATCCATTGCCACCAGCTGACCGGCGGCTCAGGTCCTCTCTGCTCCTCCTCGTCATGCCATGGAGTAGGGAGACAGACCTGGGTTGATGCCCATTCCTGGACAGGGTCCTGCCCTTTGCAGAGGCCAAGTGTTAAAGCAGCCCCATGGGTCTGGCTGTTTACTGCCTTTGGAGGTCCCAGGCATATGGACAGGAGGCAATAGGTTTGGGAAGTCAGTGACTCTGTCCTTTCTGTTCTAGGATGGAAGCTAAACCCTGTAGTAGGGGCAGTCTATGGACCTGAGTTCTATGCAGGTAAAGGTGGGGACAGGAGCAGGTGGGATGGGCTGAGACAGGACAAGTGGGGCTGTGAGCCTTGGCCCCTCTTCACTTGCCCCTCCCACTCTCTCTGCCCCTTTCTTGCAGTGACCAGTTTCCCCTACGCCACCACAGGCACCGCCGTCGCCTACCGGGGTGCACACCTGCGGGGCCGGGGCCGGGCTGTGTATAATACCTTTCGAGCCGCACCACCTCCGCCCCCCATTCCGACTTACGGAGCGTGAGTACCCTAGAAGGGGAGGCTGAAGGAAAGCCGGGGAGCGTGGGAGGCAGCTCTGAGAAGCTGAAGGGGCTCAGCAGCCCTTCCAGAACTGTGGGGGGTGGGGCAGGACAGAATGGTGGGGACCCCAGAACCCAGCACCGCAGCTGCCTGCATCATCCAGACCCCCCACCACAGGGGACACCTCCAGGGGTCACTGGCCTCTGAGGGGCTGTCATCTGAATGCTAAACAGGGCCCGTGTTAGCCCTTGGGTCCAGCAAGGGCCTTCTGGGAGCCCTCTCTGGTCCCTTCCCTGGGGCCCTGCCCTGCACTGCTGAAGGGGACAGCTGCCTGCGGGGGAGGGGGGAGCAGGAGCTGATGGGAGAAAGGAGCTGACCGGCAAGGGTGTTACTCTATTGTTATACCAAACAGGGCACTGGAGCAAACGCTTGTTAAAATGCCAGTCCCGTGGGCGGGGCTGGCACCGTGCCCCCTCGCCCCTCAGCAGACGCCGGAGCCGACCTACCCCACCTCTCCAGCGTTCCCACCACTCTCTTGTCCGTTTGCTTCCAGGGTCGTGTATCAGGATGGATTTTATGGTGCTGAGATTTATGTAAGTGTAGCCCTGGGGAGGGAAGGGTATAAGTGCAACCTTCTGTCTGTGCCTGTGAGAAGTAGTCTGTCTGTCTGTCTGCCATCATGGCCTCACTCCTCCTGCCCTTTGGACTCGGTGCTCCAGCATCAAGGCACGCAGAGGGTGGCCATTGATAGTGGTTACCTCCGTAGCCCTATAAGCCTAAGGTGTCCTACCCCATACGGCGGGGGGCTATATGAGGCTCACTGAGTGGCCCTCTCCCATCCCTAACCATGCCAGGATGAGCAGAGAGACCAAAGGCAAGCCCTGGGTGCCCACTCTCTCTGGGCAAGGTCCGTGCCTCCCTCTCCCTGTAAAACCATGCCTGTCATGGTCTGTGGCTCAGAACCCTCGGTGAGCATCCCCCACAATGCACCCACTGTGCTTTGCCCCGGGACAGATAGCTATAATTAACTGCCCACTGTCCAAGGCGTATCTGAACCAACCCCTTCAAGGCCCCTTCATCCTTCCTGTTATCCAGGGCGGGGTTGAGAGTCACCAGTGGGCTCCCTACAACTGTCAGCATTGAAGCAGTAGCTGTCTGTTGGCGGGTCTGTGGGCACACTTAGTGTGTGCCAGGACCAGCATTCAGCCAGAGATACAACTGGGGCACAGTAGTTAGTATACACTGAAATTGCAAATGCTTGTGAGAACGGAAGGAAGGAAGGAACGAAGGAAGGAAGGAAGGAAGGAAGGAAGTTTCTCTGGCTCTGCCTCAACCTGGGTGTGAGCCCCACTGAGTCCTTCCGCCATCTTTCCTTCCCACCTCCCCTGCAGGGAGGCTATGCAGCTTACAGATACGCTCAGCCCGCCGCCGCCGCAGCCGCCGCCGCCTACAGTGACAGGTGAGGCTGGGATCAGCAGCCTGCACACCGGGTGCTGGCGGGCTCTTTGGAGGATGGGTTCAGACAGACGGAGAGCCCCACCCACCACTCAGGACCTGTGGGTGCCTGTGTCTGGTGAATGCAGGGCTGGAAGGGAAGCGAATCCCGACTGAGCTCAGAGATTCATGAACCAGGGAACCCCTGACCCGTTACTTCCTGCCACACATCTCATGGAGCAGATAGAATTCCTGATTCTCAACCCAGGGGTCTCACGGCTCTCCAGACCCCTTACAAGGAGGGTGACTGGGAGCCTCCATTGGCCTCTGGAAACAAACTGTGGTCCTGTTTGTATCTGGGAGCAACCAGCCCTCCCTCTGCCCAGGTGTGAGCCTGCCCAGGTGTGAGCCTGCCCAGGAAGAAAGCTATGCTTGTTCAGCAGCAAGTCCTCACTGGAGGCCGAGCCCAACGCCTTTTCCCTCAGACTCTTGGCCTGGTGGCTTCAGACTTCCTGTTTAGGCTATACAGTAGATCTGCCTACAGAAAGCCGGCTCTCCCTGTGGCCCGGAGGCTACCTGCCCCCCTCCGCCATGGCCAGTGGGGCCCTCCAATCCTTGGCCTCCTTACAGTCTGTTGCTCTGCCTTACCAAATGTGCAAGGCACATACAGGGTTCTATGACCCCGCCTTGTCCTCAGGATTTGTCACATCACAGATTAGGTGAGCAGAAGGTCATGTGGGACAGAGTGCCACCCCTTGGGCCATGATGCTCCTGATCCCCACCCCATCTCTCTCTTCAGTCAAACCCTTTCCCAGCTCTTAGCCCTAGTTCTCGCTGGAGGCAGAGTCACATGAACTTGCTAAGAACTCTACTCCCTCCAAGGAGAGCACACTGGCCGCCTAACAAAGGGGATAGATACTGCTAGGTTCCAGAAACTTCCTTCTAAACAGGAAGGAAGGACAAGCAGCTGAGAGGGTCTGGTGGGGAGGGAGGAGCCTCGTGGGAGGGTGCTGGCCTGGGCAGGCTGGCCAGCTGTTCCCTACTTCAGCTACCCCTCTCGGGCGCCCTCTCCCTCCCTGCTTTTCCCTAGTTATGGCAGAGTCTATGCAGCTACCGATCCCTACCATCATACCATTGGCCCCACAGCGACCTACAGCATCGGAACCATGGTAAGAACAGCTGCCACTAGCAGGAGAGCCATCCTGCAATGGGACTGGGTGGGGCAAGGCTGTGGGAAGAGGCCAGGCCTCCAGCCAGGGCCTAGTTCTGGAGAGTCGGGGAAATCTGTTGAGAAGGAGGGACTTGCCTGGAAGGCAGGTTCGACCCTCTACGATGACTGGACCTCTGGGAAGAGTTCCAGAGCCCAGTGACCACAGTCCTGTCCAGGTCCCTCCATTCCCGGTACCATGGCCTTTCCTCCCTGCGGTGGCTGCAGAGGCCTGGCAGTTTGGGCAGGTGTGACCTATTCTTCCCTGGGAAGTGTCTGAGGTTAATCCCCCACCCTCCTGTCCCGTCTCACTTGGACGGCAACCCTTTCTCACCAGACTCTCTTCCCAGACTCCCCGGGGCTCCATGGACTTGGGTTCCAGCAGCCTCGCTCCCACACAGTGTCAGGGTGGAAGGGTGGGCGGGCTGCTGTGTCTGTGTGCATGTGTATGTGTATATGTGTGTGTGTGCGTGCCCAGATGTCAACCTAGCCCAGACCCTCTGTAACCCAGTCTGTGTCCCGTGCACACCCATCCCCCACGCCTTAGCACCCCAGGGATGTTGACATATATTTCCAGCTTGCATCCAGCATCAAAGATGAAAACATTTGGGGAACTAACAGTAAAGAGAGAGAAAGCGGAGAGGCAACATACATTTTTTTTTCCTACCTCCCTTGGTTTTGATTATTCCCTTGACATTTTTGTCTTTGTTGATTTTTAACAAGCCTCAGACAGACATCCTGAGCAGGCCTGTGGGGGCTCTAGCTAAGAGGGTGCCACGGCCACACAGGAAGAGACCCAGATCCAGCACCTGCAGCCTGAAGGCCCAGGCTGCCTGCACAGCTCGGCCTCAAGGCAGCTGGCTGAAAGCTCTGACTCAAGGGCCCCTCCTGGTTACGGCTTATTTTCAAGGCTTGGGAGGCATTCTCCGACTTTTTCCTCCTGGGTTTGCTACTTATTTCCCATTGCCTGCAAAACTCGGGGTCAGGAACAAGATTCCACAGAAACCTCTCTGGCAGGACACAGAGCCGAGTCTAGCAGACCCTAGTGGGCCCAGATGCAGGCAGGGTAGGAGCAGGGAGCCACTCACTGAGCAGGAGCCATGTCAGAGGAGACTGACCAGCCCTGTAGGCATGAGGAGATAGCTCCACCAGAGGGCACAGTGGGCCCAGGTGAAGCCCCAAGAAGTGACCCCAGAGACAGTATAGAAGTCTGTAAGAGACAGTCAGACCTCCCAGCCCCATGACCACCACAGAGGAACCAGGCCCCTGGTTGCTATGTCAACCAGAAACCCATTCTTCCCAAAGAAATACCATTGGGGGAAAGAAAGTGGGATTAGCTATTTCTTTTTCTTTCTTCTTTTTTTTTTTTTGGTTTTCCTTTTTTTTTTTTTTTTTTTTTTTTTTTTTTTTTTTTTCTTTTTGATTTTTCCTCCCAATACCAAAAAGATGGTACTGATTGGCTGTTTTTCATCTTTGATGTTGCAGGCTAGCCTCTGCCGAGGAGGGTACAGCCGCTTCACCCCCTACTAGCAAGAGACCCCCTCACAGCATTCACATCACTGCTTATTCCAAACCAAACCCTACAGTCCCAACACCAGATACAGCCACCAAGAGGACAGTGCGCCCCTCCCGGTCAGCGACAAGCACCTCTGACCCTCTGCGACTCTAAAGTCCATAGATTTTTACCTCCAGCCAGCTGGTCTCCCCACCCCGCCCGAGCTGGTGTGTGTGTCTCTGACCCTGGTTTTCCTGTATGTCTGAACCTTGGTTCCCTATCTTGACGTTGTTGATGTTATACAAGCCACTTCAGGTACAGTATGCATTCAGCGGGAGCCAGGCCCGGGGGGACGGCAAGTTGTCCTACCAGGGCCATGCCTATGTCTCAGGGCGACAGGGGCCCTCAGAGCTCCAGAAGTGCCACCAAGACTCCCTCAGAGCCACCTCAGCCAACCCCTGCAGGCCTGGCCACCCACACACTTGGTGACTAGCTCTAGGCCTAGTCAGTGGGTTTCCCAGTGGGAGGGGGGCCTCCATCCACCTTTCTCTAGGAATGTCAGGAGTAGCTGCAGCCCTCCCGAGTAGCTGTGGCCCTCTAGACTTCCACTCAGCTGAAGTTAATGTTTCTATTAAAGTTTACTAACAATCCTCCTGTCCAAGTAGTCACCAGCACACTGTTCTGTGCACATGCTGCTGTGGTCAGCCCAGCTCTGGTATTCCTTATGGGAATGGAAATGTCCCTGGCCCCTGGGTACCCTGCTGGTCTGGATGGGTCTGGAGACCCTCCCTGAGCCTGACCCACCTCCTCAGGCATCTGAAACTGATGGCTCTGGGTATTTGTCCTTGACCTACAGAGCTACCCCCAAGACTCAACACACATTTTGTCAAGGTCCATCACAGGAGACGGAAGGGTTCCAGTAGTCAGGCCAGGGACACGTGTCCGCGTCCTTCTGCTAGCCTTCCTGTAGTCACCTGACCTTCCATTAGCATGCCTGTGCCTCTGTGGCCTTTGGGACCCAGCTGGTTCTACTCCCTAGAGCCCCTGAAAGTAGTCAGTTGGCACCTGAGGTGGGGCCTAGAGCTCCGGCCAGAACTAGCAGGTGCTGGCCCCTCCACTGGGGGAGGGAGGCCAGGACCACAAGGTGACCAACGTTGTTAGCCCTGTAGTGCATAGAGCCCTGCCCCCCCCCCATGCTCTCCACCATACCCTACCCTCTGCCTGGTCTGACTTACCTTCTACTCACAGCCCTGCCCATTCCTACGAGACGGTCTGCTTTGGGTCTAGCTTGTGGTGGGGTTCCAGAAGCTGTGGGGGGACAGCTTTATTTAGGGTCACTGTGGCTTCAGGTTGGACCCCAGACCACAGGCACAGTCGCCCGCCCCATGTGCTGCAGCTACCCCTCAGAAACTGCAAGCCTTGCCTTTCTGTTTCTGTTGTAGTGAAACTTTCCACCGTCTCCTTCTCGGACCATGAAGGGCAAAAACAAAAAAAAAAAAACAAAAAAAATCACAAAACAAAAAAACAAAAAAAAGATGTTAAGATCCAAGCAGCAACAACAACAACAACAAAAAATTCCAACCGAACCAAGAGGCATCCAACCGAGTCCAAGTCCAAGTCCACGTCTGGCATACGCCTGCACCGAGGGAGCTCGTCCCCCAGGGGGCGCCGGAGAGTGGCCTTGCCTGGCTGGCGGTGCAGTAGGGATGCGGCCAGGCGCGGGGAAGGACCTGGAGGGGAAATGTGGCCCGTGGGTGTGGGGCAGGGGGGCTCGGGTATCTATCCAGTCTTCCTTTCCCACCCTGCTCCCCAGGCAGGGGCTCCTAGGGTGGAGCAAGCCCCTGAGAAGGAGTGGCCAGCTGACTTGGGCTATCGCCTGCTGAGCCCTGGAGGGGCTGGGAGCAGTTAGGGGCCAGTGGCTTGTCACTTATCCCAATGTCTCCAGCCTGGCCTCGTTGAATGTGCTGCTAGTGCCGTCAGCTGTCCAACCAGCCGCCCTGGGGTCCAGCTCCCAATGCAAAGGGCTGACCTGGCTCCAGAACTCTGGGGCACCCCATGCTCCGCTCCCCTAAGTGAGAAAGCTTCCGGCTACCGAGAACAAAGGGCGCCCAGCCAGTGGGGACCCAGTCCTCACGCTGAGATCGTCCACGGGTGGGCCCTGGAGCACAGGCTTCGTTTGTAGTGGCAGCCTTCCTGAAGAAGGCACCCTGGGCTCGAAGGCCAGCCTCAGCTGTCTGCTAGGATCCTCCTTCCCACTCCTTTCTGTAGGCCCACTTGTGCTGGGGGTTGGGGGGGGGGCGCGGGGGAAGAGAGATGGGCCGGCCCTGGGCTGCACCTCGAGGTTGGGAGTCAAGGTGCTATGGGTCTGGAGGGCCACAGTGAGCGCAGGACCCATAGGGAAGGCAAGGAATGGGGACGTGTGGCCTGGCCCCTCCACAGGGAAGGCCAGCTGGGATGCGGCCCCTCTGCTCCCTGGGCAGGTGTAGCGGGAATAACGGGGAAACCGCGGGCCCAGTGGAGATGGTACAGGGGACAGGTAGCAAGAAGCCCCTGGCAAGGCAGAGGTAGATGGGGTAGAATTAACAGCAAAAAAAAAAAAAAAAAAAAAAAAATTTAACGGAAACCATGGCTCCCGACGTGGCACCACTGTCTCATGACACCTCAAAATAAATCACCTCACTTTCTATCCAGCATCAGCCACCGAAGCTATGGAAACGGCCCCTCCTTTTCTATTCCTGATGTACATAGCCCCGCCCCGCCGCCTGCCTCCGGCTCTGTCCTCGGTACAGGGCCCCTCGCCTTCTGCTGTTTCGGACCCTTTTCCCACAGCAGCTCAGAACCCCTTGTCCCCAGCCCCTCCCCCAGGACTGCAGCCGAGCTCCAGGCTTCCTTTCTTACCATTCGGTATGCTTCCAAGGTGTGACCATTCAAATTAGCAGTATTATTATTAAGATTAATAAAGATTTCTTTCTTCAAACCAGGATGGCTTCTTCTGATTTAGCTGTTCCCGGCACAGGAGGCGGCCGGTGGGGGGGGGGAGGGCGGAAGCACTCAAGGATGGGGGTTTGAGGCCCAGCCCTGGGAGAGGCCCGTGGTAATGGGGGAGCAATGGGGGGCAAATAACTGGGAAGGTACAACCCCTTGTGGGGGGGGATTGTCCTGCTGCACTGCATGCTAAGACAGGCTGGTGGAGCCAAACAGCCCCTAAGGCTTCTGCAACAGGTTACAGCTAAAGAAGCAGCTCGGGCACTGAATGTGAGGTTCCAGCGCCCAGGGTAGGGAGTGTGCGGTCGCCCTGAGCTGTGGCCCTCTATTCATTTCAAGGTGAATGTGCCGCCTGGCCTTGAGCCCCTGACTTGTGAAAGAGGCTGCAGAAAGGCTGGGAGGGCGGCTGTGAGGGAGAGCTGGGGTCTGCCCGGAGAGAATCCCAACAAACATCTTCACATTGGATAATTTATTTCCAAGCGATTATATCCACCAGAGGGGCCGAGGCTTAAACGCTGGCAGATTATAACTTTCCTGCACAGGAGCCAGTGTTGCTGGGACTGGGGACCGTGCTCCTGGGGAGAGAGGTTGTACAGCTAGCTCTGCCTCACGCCATGCTCTGCTAAGCCCCTTCCTTCTAATTGCTTGCTCGCCAGACTGTGAGAAAATAATAGCCACTATAAATTTTTCCTCCTTCTCTGCGTAAGATATGTTAAGGGGCCAACACTTTTAAAAATCAGATTCCGGGACCGCGAGAGAAGCGGGGCGCTCAGGAATGCTGTACGGCTCCCAAGCCAGCCGCCTGCCCTGCCTGTGGCCCACAGTCCCTCCACTCGGGGCATAGTGCCCTGGCTGGGGTTGCAAGAGTCAGGGCTCTGGGGCAGGTTCTGGCAAAGAACCAGAGAAAGTAAGGCCAGCACAGCTGGTGCTCTTGTCCTGCTGGTGGAGCCACGCTAGGGCACAGAAGTAGCCTGGGCTTTGGCAGAGGCCGCGTCCTGCCCCTGTCCCTGTGAGAGCTGGTAGAGCAAAATGTCCCCAATCTCGGGTTCCAGGTCCTCACCCTTACACTTCACTCAAGGGGGACAGAGATCGGCGAAGTCAGGGAAAAAGGGTGGGGGCAGGGGCCACTCTTGCCTTCCTGACCTGGCAACCGGGGACTCTGAGGAAGCCCCACCCATCCAACCCATCACCTCTGCGGGGTGGCCACGGGCATCTGCCCCTATAGCACAGCATGAGTTCCACAGATCAGACCCCAGAGGGGTCACACTTCTGAACACATACGGGCTGAGAAAGCTGTACGCTGTGGCCCCAGCACAGAGCACTGGAGTGGCGTTACCGTTGTCACCCGAGAACCACACACACAGCAGGCGGCTTCCACTCTCTCCAAGGCTGAGGGTGCACCCGCCCGCCCAGAGGGAATCGAGGCTCACCTGCGTCTAGGGAGACACAGGGAAAGAAGCCTGGTGGCACCCTGCTGCCCGCCTCGGCACCGGCACCTTCACCGTGAGCAGGCGGCCTATGCAGAGGCATGGGAGCTGGGGTTCACAGGGACAGTCGGCTGCCAAAGCCACCGGCCACACAGGTATTCTGAAATATGACTGGCCCCGCCCTGTAACAGGTGGGGGGTGTGCCCGGGCCCACCTGCTGGAGCTGCCCTGTGAGGACCCCTGACCCCCACCCCTTCCCTGAGGGGTGTTGCCTCAGCCTTCTGGAACATCACAAATCCTGGCCCTTCAGGGTCCCTTACTTCCACCAGTCAAGTTTGTCTCTGATTGTCAAAGTTTCAGGGATAGACAGACAGACAAACCACCATTCTCAACAAAGGCATCTTTTCAGACTCTGAGTGACAGGACAGCCTTTATGGAACTTTCTGGAAGAAACCTCGCATGCTCTCCTCCTTCCTTGAGACCTGCATCCCATGGAGAGCATTACACAGAAGGATGTGGAGCCTAGGTAATTCTTGAAGAGCACCCACGGGTCAGAGTTACCTGAGAGCATAGTCAGAGCCTAGAGACCTGCCGTCCTGGAGACCCAGCTACCATCAGCCCTGGATGGCGGGCCAAGAAGAAATCTCAGATCTTGAAGGTCCTGTGCTCTGGGATGGGCTCACTGAGGGGCTGAGTAGAGCAGGGCCGCCTTGCCCCACTCGGCCTGAGGCACCAGGAAGCCCTCCCTGGGGACAGGCTCCACCAGGAACTCCACACGGCCATCCTGTCCAAAACTAGCGGCCTCCACAGCCAAGTCCACCACACGAAACTGGTTGGCAAACGCCAGGCCCAGGAACATGGGCGTCTCGGTCCCAGGGGTACCCTCCGTGGCAGAGCTGCTTCCTGTCCGCGACCAGCAGTGAATCCGGAAGCACCGGGCTTGGAGCAGGAGGAAAGACCAGTGCAGAGTGCAGCTGAGGAGGAGCCGGGCAGGGACGCCCTCGGACCCAGAGACCACGGGAACCCAACGGAGCTGTGAAATGGTGACATTCTGCACCCGGGGCAGGGGGACCAGCAGGCTGTTGGCATCAATCACCTGGTAGGAGAGAGCAGGATTTCCTGGTTAGACGCCCAGGGAGGACACAAAGGGCTAGCACGCCATACACCTCCTCCTCAGTGCCTCACCCACCCCTCCTCCACCCACCCCTCCTCCACCCACCCCTCCTCCCCGGGAGCCCAGACACTGCCCTATCTACCCTTTCTCCCCACAGGCCCAGCTCCCACGCACATACCTGGATCTCTCCAAGGCGACAAATGAAACTCTTCTCCTCCCGGCTGCCGGGTGGCCGTGAGAAGCTCACCAAGAGGTCCTGAAGCAGGCACCCATGCAGGCTCACCTCATAGCAGCTTAAAACACACACACACATACACAGGCTGCTCACAAGCCAGCTACGGGGAGGGCCCTAGCCACAGCATGAAGGGGAAAGGATCGCAGGTGATACCCAGGGCAGCCCAGGGCTACAGAAGGTTTCTGAGAGCAGTGCCCTGGTCTGTGTCACTGCTGCCCAAAACCTCAAAGGTCAAGCCAAGGCCTCTCTCTCCCTCTTGTTCTGGGGCTCCTCGGGGGGGGGGGGCTTGTTCCTTAAGTCCCCCATGTGTGCCCATCCCCTTCAGGAGACTTGACAGCAGAGGGACTCACCGTTGAATCCAGCCCCCACTGAGCTGCTGGCCACAGCGGCCAACCCATCTGGCCAGCTTGGTTGGGGGCACCTGGAGGGGGCGGGGTCTGTGCCTTGAGCCAGTTTCTGCTAGAAGACATGGGCTTCAGAAAGGAGAACCCACAGGAAGTCCAAGAGGGGCAAGATGTCTACTTGGCAGGGCAGTGTGGGCACAGGGGGATCTAAGAGGCCCCTGGAGGGGCTGACCCTTGGAAGGACTTCCAAGGATAAGGGGGTGTGTATCTGGGACTGGCCAGATGCACTCATCCTGGCTTCTACCATGTAGCCATGGCTACGGCCCACCGGCACGCCCATCCCAGTGTCCTGCCCACAAGAGGACCTGTATCCAACCTGCCCAAAAGACCAGGATGCTTAGCAGCGTCGCAGAGGAGATCTTGTGCTTAGTAAATCTCTATGTGCAGGTAATGACCACAAGCCACAGATTCCATCCAAGGTGGGAGCTCCCCGCCCACAGCAGCCCCGCCCACAGCAGCCCCGCCCAGGACCAGAGCCTCCTCCACCTCCTTTCCATGAAGTCACCCAGCCTCTCACCATGCAACACCGACACGCTACCCACATGGCAGCTGCTGGCATCCCCTGTTGTGAGCTCCAAAGCCACCTGGACATCCGTCGAGACTTCGAACTTGTACACCATCGACAGGAAGAGCTTGGGTGGCACTGGGATCTGCAGGGAGAACAGCCTGGGGGAGAGAAACCCCATGAGAGCTGGAAGAGAGACTGTGGATCCTCCATCAGCCCCTCCCTGCCTGGCTCGGGCGGGAGTCTGGTGGGGAAGGACCTGGCCCTGCCGTGGCTAGGGCCTGGCCTTCCCTATGGTCACACTCTGCTGTAGACTGGAAGGCCCTGGTTCTAACTTCCTCCCGTGCACCATCTCAGGCAGCCACGAGGTGGGAAGTACAACCAACTCAGTGGATTGTTCCAGACGCCTGCACGACGCTGCGTCCTGCTGACACAGCTGCTCGACACTTTCCAAGGCTGCAGAGGCATCGTGCCCTGTGTTTGACCACAAAACCTCTGTCCCCGCTAGGCTCCTGCACACCCTCTGCTTGATTCAGCTGCAGACAGAGGGCGGAAGGCAGAGAGAGACCCACAAGCCTCATCCACCACTCACCCACCTCACGGCTACATTGTCAACCTCGGGTGGGATCAGGCCCTGGAGCAGCAGAGAACCGCCCCCGTGCCAAGCGTCAGCCAGACAGCAGTGTGTCTTCACCCAGCCCCCACTACCTCCAGCCAGTTTGTGTTCACCAAAGAGGGGCTGGGTCTCCTGGGCGCTAGGGTGGTACCAGGGTCCCACTACCTGCTCCTGGACAAAGAGGGGGAGTGAGAAATGGGACGGGGCGGGGACCTCCTCTGCAGAGACAGGGACAGGAAGGGGACAGGAAGGCCATACACACCTTTTGGCTCCCTCCTGCCCATCCCAGCCAGAGGCCAGACACAGGGAGGCCCACTACCCCACCCTGTCCTCAGCACCATGACCCACGCACCTTGCCATAGCAGACTCTTCGAGTCCCCAGGCCCAGGCAGAAAGAGGTGACGAAAGGCAGGGAGCAGATACTGTGCGTGGGCAGGAAGCGCTCCAGCAGTCTCCAGAACCTGACGGGGACATGGGAACAGGAGGGACTCAGGGTGAGGGGGCTGTTCCACATCCCTGCAGCCCTGCGGGGGGCTGGGGGACCCCAGAAAGGGGCCATCCAGGGAGACTGCCGCACCCTGCTGGGGGCGGGCCAGATGACATGGGCAGGAGGCAGCTCTCTCTCTCTCTCTCTCTCTCTCTCTCTCTCTCTCTCTCTGTTCCCTCCTGCATCCTCCCAGGGTTCTCATTCGATCCCTACCACCAGGTACCCACGGCAGCGGAGATGCCCTCTCTCCTGCCAGGCCGTGCAAAGCCCTAGGGGACTCACTTGTCCTGGTTCTGAAAGAAGTCACTCTTCTCCAGACACTCATACACCCAGCCAGGAGCAAACAGTGCCGCCGAGAAGCCGTGCTTGCGGATCAGCTCCAGTGACTGGGAAAACAGAAACCAGGGACAAGCGTCCAGACGGGCTTCCTGGACGCCAGCTCACAGCGAACGAACGAAGGTCCTCTCGGGGCCAGCGAGGAAAAGCTCTCCCTCACAACTCCCCGTTGCCCCACGAGCCAGCTAAAGAAGGCGGTTAGAGAAGCGGCTGGAAACACGGTGGACTCTGCCATGGTGGTGCTGTCTTGGTGGACAGGGCAGCTGAGCTGTGACTCCCCACCTCCTCCTCCTCTCTCTCCAGACACCTCTCCATCACCCTATTGGAATCACAGCGGGTGAAGGTCCGCAGCCACTGGGCTGTGTGGGCTGGCTGTGTGCTGCCTGGTTTTAACTATCACCTCACACGGCCGGCCGGATGCACCTGGGAAGAGCCTCAGTGAGGATTGCTCTACATTGGCTTAGCCTGTAGGCGTGTCTGAGTGCGTACTGTCTTGCGTATCGATGTCGGGAAGGCCTAGGCAAGGTAGTATAAAAGAGAACGCTGGACGCGGTGACCTTTAATCCCAAGAGGCAGAGACAGGGGGATCGAGGCCAGCCCAATCTACACAGCAAGTTCAAGGACAGCCACGGCTACATAGAGAAACCCTGTGTCGGAGAGAGGGGGTGGGGTGGGGGAGAGGGAGAGAGGTGGGGGGAGCTAGCTGGGAATAAGCAGGTGTTCATTTCATTTCCTCTGGTCTTCACGGTGTACTGTAGACTGGAACCATAGCCTGCGACTAAATCCTGTCGCATTTTGTCAGAGTTCTTTATCACAATAACAGACGTAAAACCAGGGCCCTGGATTAAATGATCCATCTACAGCTCCCTTCAGGACTGACAGACAGACAGGCACCGAGCCTGCTGCTCACCTTTCCTCCCTGATGAGATGGCCGGCCAGAAAAAAATCTCACTGGTCCCAAATGCAAGTGCTTCACCTCCGTCCACTACACACACACCCGCCCCTGCCCCCGCCCCCGCCCCCGAACACTGAGTGTCAGGAAAGGTCCCTCAAGGCCCTCCAAAGCCTGTGGCCCAGGAGGGAGGGAAGCCGGTGTCTGTGGGGTGATTCAGAAGTGGAAACAGGAAGCTCTGGCTTCCAGACTCAGCTGGAAGGAACCCAGGAGTTCCAGGGTGCCTCAGTTTCCCTTCTCAGGGGACACTTGCCATTTCTTTCCTTTAAGGCGCTAATGGGAATGGAAGGTCCCCAAGAGAGAGGCCACCGAGGGCATGCGGACCAGCAGCCCCGGTGCAGTGCAAAGGCCCACCCCACCTACCTTGTCAGTATCAAAACGGCCTCCGACCACGTCGCTCCGAGCAAACACATCCACGCCCACGTACACGTCAGCCAGGCGCTCACCGGCCTGTGCCACCATCCTCTGCAGGTGGTCTTCCCGCCAGTTGTAGTTGGTGAAGAAGCCATCGCAAGAGTCAAAGAAGATCCTGAGAGGCGGCAAGGACCGGCTAAGGCCATGCATAGCTACACGGGACACCCATCTGCTGTCAGCCCCCCCCCCCCGACGCTCAGGGCCACACAGCACAGCACCCATGGACTGAGGCTCCCTGGGACTAGAGTTTGCAGCATCCACCAGGGTGGGTATTGATCACACCTGCTCTCCCCTACCCAAAGCTGCCCGCACAGGATGCCCTGTAACCTGCCGGGCTCCTCTTCCTGCTTGGCCACACCTGGCGCTCACCTGTTCTGTTCATTGAGTTCATTCTGCCACTTGAGCTGCCCACTCTGGACCACACTGTCATACCAGAGCACCAGACCTCCAGGGACGTGCTGATGGAGCTGAGTGGTCAGGTACTGGAGAAAAGGAGGTGTGTTCCCCACAGCAGCTGGCTGCAAGAGAGGAGGGGAGATCAGACGCTTGGGCGGAACTGTCAGGAGAAATAACCCAGTATAGTAGAGAAGTCCCATGGCCACAAGGGAGGAAGGACCTAGCCACCCTTGCTGGGCAGAAAAGAAAACAGCCCAGAACTCAGGAAAAGATAACTGGAAGGGGTCAGTGGCCACCAAAAAAAAAAAAAAAAAAAAAAAAAAAAAAAACCCACACAAACCGGAAGCAGCGATGGGGCACACCAAGGAAGGAGGCAGGAAAAGCGAAGCCAAGGAAGCTCATGGAATAGCTGGGCTCCCCTCTCCCTGCAGTCAGAGACGGCACCAGTGGCCCTAGCAGGGTCAAGAAGGGGGCCTTGCTGCCATGGGCTGGGGCCTGGGTCCGGAGAAAGAGGGGTCATGCAAAGGTGTAAGGGTGGCACAAGGAGTCAGTGGCGAGCAGTGGAAAGAAGCAAAAGGGATTTGCAAAGCCAGGCGTGAAGGGGGCAGGCTCCAGGCCGCGCTGCGGCTGCTGTGCTTACACTCAGAGGGTTCTCGATATTGATGAGCCAACCATCAAAACGAAAAAACTGAGCGATCTGGACCAGCCGGTCAGCCACTGCCTGGTAGGAGCGCACATCCCCAGCCAGGAAGGATTCACAGAGCCTGCCTCCGTCCTGCCACTCTGTGATAAATGTCCCTGTGAGACAAGAGACAGAAACAGCTGCACGGACGGCTCTCCTGGGACCCAGGGCTTGGCCAAGTGTGCTTCCTAGACATCAGGACTATAGGAAAATGCAGACACAGCGCTACTATGGGGTGTGGTCGCAGGGGACGAAGGACAAAGCTGGAGAGATACCATTCTGAACCAGTGGTTGGCAAACTATGTGGTTGCTGGGAATTGAACTCAGGACCTCTGGAAGAGCAGCCAGTGCTCTTAACCTCTGAGCCGTCTCTCCAGCCCCTACAGCTGTTTTTATACCAATCACCGCCACAACGACTCATGGGCCACATGCTAAAAATAAGAACTATCGGGAAACATACAGGCACCCATCATAACCCATGGACATAGCTGTCCACCAACCACCTGGCCCTTACCCAGCACGCAGACTCCGTGCCTGTGTGCGGCGTTGGTCCAGCACACAGGGGGGATGGTGACTGTGTGATGGCTGAAGTACACAAAGATGTCAATGCACTGCCAGTGGTAGAAAGAGTAGGGATTCTGCACCTCTGAGCCCTGAATGAACCTGAAAGACACGGAAGAGTCAGGTCCCAGGGGGCAGATGAGGCCACAGTGATGTGGGGGGCAGCCTTGGGTGAGGTTCCAGCTTCGGTGACCGTCTTTGGCTCTGACTGAGAGGCTGCTGTGTGAGAGCCTGTGTGAGTGGAGTAACAGCAGGAACTACCTGAGGCTCTTCTGTCACAAGCAGGAGCTGGGGTGACAGCCACTCAGCAAAGCGCTTGCCTTGCATGAGTTCCATCCCCAGAACCAACTTAAAAGTTAAAAATTAAAAATATTAAAAAATCCAGTATGAGCTGGACAGTGGTGGCACACGCCTTTAATCCCAGCACTCGGGAGGCAGAGGCAGGAGGATCTCTGTGAGTTCAAGGCCAGCCTGGTCTACAGAGCTACACAGAGAAACCCTGTCTTGAAAAACCAAAGAAAAATAAAAATAAAAAATCCAGGTATGGTAGAGTGTGTTTGTACTCTCGGGGAGGAGATGGTGGAAAGTCCCAGATGGGCTAGCCTTGTCTGCTTGGTGAGTTCCAGGCCAGTGAGGAAGCATGTCTCAAAAATAAGGTGGCCAGCATCTGTGGAACAATAGCCCAGGTTGTGTGTGTGTGTGTGTGTGTGTGTGTGTGTGTGTGTGTGTCCCGCCTCCACATGCACACAAACACACAGAGCAGTGAGGAGGGTGTCCGGCACGGAGGTACCTGGGGCAGAGGGCCTGGAGGCGGAAGCCAGCTAGCTGGGCTACAGAATGAGTTCTCTACCAGGCTGAACTACAGAGCAAGACCCAATCTCAAAACTCCCAGAGTGTTTGGGGAGGGCTCATTCGCTACCCAGGACACTGGCACGGGCCACTGGGTCTGCACAGGCAGCATTCTGGCTTCTGTGAGCAGATGAAGGAGAAGGAAGGAAGCAGGAAGGCTGGCTACAGGCCCTGTCTCTGACTTCCGCCCTGTGTCTCCCTGTTATCTGCAGGTTGGCCATGCCCCAGACTGGGCAGTTGGCTCTGACTCAGCTTCCCATCACCCTGGCCTAGACTGTTCTACAGAAGTTTAAAATGCCACTCTAGTTAGATAGGAGAGAGAGAGAGGAGAGAGAGAGAGAGAGAGAGAGAGAGAGAGAGAGAGAGAGAGAGAGGAGAGAGAGAGAGAGAGAGAGAGAGAGAGAGAGAGAGAGAGAGAGAGAGAACGAACACAGGAAGCCAGAGGCAAGAGATCGGAAGGAGGACAGAGCTTATATGCAAGCATGCGCAACAGAGTATCAGATGAGAGCACGGGGCTACACCAGGAGCCCTAGAGACACGGCAGGCATTCCCTGCAGGGGCAGCCTGAGGAACTATCCGTCTGTGGAGATAGACACCAGCTCACCCATTTCCAACTTGCTTCTGCCACCTGAATCTTAACCTATAGGACTGAGTTCCTCTCCCTGAGGCGTCAAGGGGGCCATCTAGAACCTGCTTTCCCAACTGCCACCCTCTTCCCATCCTGGGATGGCAGTGCTGTGTCAGGGACCTCACCTGTCCTCCAGGTACCCGCCCATCATGTCGTGGCATAGCAGGGTCCGGGGCCTAGGGCTGCTCAGCGGGGGCTGGCGACGCTCCAGGGGCTCCAGGGCTACATTGAAACCATCATCCATGGCAGGGGTCCAGGCCAGGAGCTCCTCCAGGGATGATAAGTAAAAACTGACAGGTCTGGTGGTATCCTTGTCATAATATCTAGCTGGTCCATGGAGGGAAACAGTAAGGAATAATGGGAATCAGGGAACTCATGCAGTCACTTGGACCTGACGGAGAGGAGTGGCGATCTGCGATGGCCAAGAAAGGAAGCCTCAGTCACCTCACCTGGTAAAGGGTCTGGGTTGAAACTGACCACATGTCTAAAAGCCGTTTCCTCTTCTTGGTCCTCTTTGGTCCTAGGCAAAGGGTGGGTTTTAAAAGATTAATTTGTTTTTGTTTACGATACAGGGTCTTGTGCAGCCTAGGCCAGTCTGGAACTGACTACATCGTCAAGGACGACATGGAACTTCTAATCTTTCTCCTTCTGCCTCCCAAGTGTTGGGGTTGCAGGGGTGTTCCACCAACCCATTTATGCTGTGACTGAACCAGGCTTTCAGCTATCAACAGAGCTACATTCTCAGCCCCATAAAAGGGCAAATAACAGAAGCCATTTGCTAGATATCTCTGGCCATGGCTAATAAAACATACACCAGAGGCATGCATGGGGCCAGGGCCTGCCTGGGGAACTTGTTTTTCATCTTGTTTAGTAAACACTGGGGCCTGAGTCTGCTTGAACTGCCGCCACTGACAGCCCACACCTGAGTAAACACCTTCCCCATCCAACAGGTAAATCTCACACTGAAAACTCCAAGGTAGGTACTTCCTAGGGCCCAGGCCTTCTGTGGCCAAGGGATACACAGGGTCTTCAAGAATTGGCAAAATTGAAGGCCCTGAGAGGGCTGAACCAGGCTTTGTCTCCCGGGCACACTCAAGGGCACACTCAGGGGCACACTCAGGGGCACAGACACTCACTGCCGGCCCCCTGCTGTTCACCAATGCATAATAACAAGGAAAAGTATCTTGGCTTCGTGAAGTTGCAAAATCTGAGTATGCCAGAGTCAGGAAGCATTCCTTTGTTACTATGTTTTAAAGTATCACTTAAAGTATTCTGTTTTTAAGTATCACTTTAAGAGTAGCGAGAAGACACTACCCACTACCTTAGCCTTTTAGAGAGAGATGGGCAAGCATCTAAACTGGAATCCCCTAAACCTGCCAGGGCCCAAGGCAATCCCCAAGGCCATCAACTGCGACCTGAGCTCCCTCCTTAGGATCACCCATCAATCGCTGACCCAGGACCTCTGCAATTAAACTGAGAAACCCTTGGAACCACAGAGCTGGTCAGACCACAGCAGATTAAAATGGACATGCCTTCTTCTTCCTGTGGTGCTGAGGCTCGACTTCCCATGTCCCAGGCAAGCGCTCTACCATGAACCTATCCCAAGGCCTTCCATTTTTACTTCAAGACACTAAACCAGTGACCCTCCTGCCTCACCCTCTCAAGTAGCTGGAATTACAGGCCAGTGTCATCAGGCCATGCAAATCGCCCCTTTCAAATTTCATTCCCAGACTCTTCTCTTCCATATACCCCTCCCTGGCTGATTTACCCTTCAGCTGCCCCAGCGCACCTCCAGCACCTTATAATTCCTCCAGTAAGAAGGAAGGGACCATATTGGGATCCCTTCTACCCAGAAATACCTTTCCCATCAGCCAGCAACCACCCTATAGTATGAATAGTCCATCTGTCTCACAGCTGTGGGTTTAAGCAAGATAAGCCTGCACGGATACCTTTCCCAGGATCCTACTGACCAGGGAGTTACTACCCGGAAAGGAACAAATCTCTGGAGCAGAGGGGCATGTCTGTCCACTCCTGTCCACTTTGCCCATTCTGAATCTCCCACGTGGGTACCGACCAACCGCGGTCCTCTTTCTCATCCGTAAAGACTCAGTTCAAACACCACCCTAACAAAAAGCCCACCCTAACAAAAAGCCAACCATACTTGGGATTGCCTGATCTATGGGGCCACAGAAAGGTACAGTAGCCATGGCGCCAGCCTTCCAGGACCGGACCCGGTGGGCTGGGACAGGATCTGTCAGGGCTCAGGGACAAGGACACTGGTAGCTTGTTCGGGTGGCCCGTCTGCGGCCCAGGATGGAAGGATAGGGGGACGCCGGGATGGAGAGAGCCCACCGCGAGCAGTGGACAGTGAGTGTCGCACTGTGCCGGAACAGGCAGCATGGCCACCCCGGCCCAGACCCGGAGCTCAGCCCAGCCGTGCGCACCTCCGCCCGGGCCTCCGCCGCCCCGGCCTCTGCTCCGATTGGTCCTGAGCCGGCTTCTCTGGAGCCATGGGGCCCCTCTGCTGCGCAGCCCCCTGGTTCAGCACCGAAGGGTTCTCCATGAGCGTCAGCGCCCGCTGGCCGCTAGGGCCTCCGGACACCTTGCTCCACCAGCCAATCGCAGGCCTGGGCCTGCCCCCGCCGCCACTCTCGGCCAATGGAGAGTGCGCGGCGCCGCGGATGGCTCCTTCCGGCTGGGATCTGACGGAGCTCTGCCAGTGGGACGCGTGAAGCCGCAGTTAAATAACTCGAGGGGGCGGACCCTAATGGGCGTGGTCTGGAAAAAAGGGTTGCCGCGTGGATCCAGAGCCCGGGATTCTTGGTGATGCCCAAAAGCTCCTTCCTATCTGTGTGAGCTGTCACTCGCAGCAAAGCTCTCTTCCCAGTAAATTGAAGTGCAGCCAAAACAGGTGAAGCAATCTGACAGAGGCCACCAAGTCGGGACACGGTAGCGATGAGCCCTGGAACTTGGCCACACAGACCAGAGAAGCTGACCCTGGATCTGGCGGCTCCACCTACCATCTCCAAATGCTGGGATTACAGGCATATGCCATCAAACTCAGCTTTTTTCTATTTTTTAATTAACATTTAATTGCATCAATTTGCCTTCCTTTCCCCCTCCAGTCCTTCCCGTGTACCACCCTCGCTTGATCTCTCACACATTCATGGTTTTTATTTTCTTTAATTGTTGCTACGTATGCATATGCCTGTATATATCCCTAAATATATAAACACAACCTGTTCAGTCCCTATAAATGTTTCTTGTATGTATGTGTTTTCAGGACTGGCCTTTTGACTTTGACTAACCAACTGGGGAGAGGCTCTTCCTGGGGAAGACTGTTTACCCTGCTCTCAGCCTTCGGTAATCGCCTATAGTTACTTGTCTCGGATTGGGACCGTATGAGTCTAATGGTGTCACCGCTGTTCGGGTCTCGTTTAAGAAGCCATGTTGATGAGACTTCATGGATGTAGCTTCTCTGCCATTTCTGCACTTAAGATCTGTTCAACAAAAGGGAAATCATGTCTGGTACTGAAAAAAGCTAGCCAGCCACGAGCTGGCGGCATCATCAGAGATCAGAAGAAGAATGGACAGCTTCACTAAACCAGCACAATGCTGGACAGGCTCTAGACACTGAAATGGTGGCCCTCAGGCTTGCAGAGCTCACAGCGATGAGCCAGCAGAGCCAACTCCAGCTCCAGTGGTGGGAGAGACTTTAGTTCAGCTCTGCTAACCACACTGGAGAGTAATATTCAGAGCAAAGTGAAACATAAAACTGTGATCCCCATCCATATATCAACAAGGGCTAACGGTTGTCTTTTCTCGTTCATCAACAAAAGAAGGAAAGACAGGTGGTTGCAGCAAGCTTAAGGTGGGGTTCGGAAAAGTCTCAGCTGCAATGGGAAATCTAGGAAATAAAAGGCAGGCGGGAGGGAGGTGGGGGACGGAGGGTGGTGACGCTCTGCTGGAGGGACCGTTTGCATCTATCTATCCTGTGTAATGTGGAAACAGCTGGAATGGACCCCACAGGCTGAGCACGGTAAGCACAGTTAGTTTCCTCCTGGACACATTTTCCCACTCCCCAGCCTGTGTTCCCCAGAGATAGATAGATAGATAGATAGATAGATAGATAGATAGATAGATAGATCCCGTCAAGTATGCAAGGCCCAGGAGCTGCGTCTGTCAGATCTCTCCACAGTGAACATGACGCTGCTCTGCTGTGTCCTGAGAGATGAGAAGTGCCAGAGGTGGATGAAGAGATGGGCCCGAGCCCAGCACCCCATAACCCCTCTGCAGCTTGCTCAAGCCAAGTTAGCTGGGCCTCTTTATTTCTGTTTGAAGCCTTTGTGCTTTATGAGGCCCCAAGCGACCATAAATGCCAAGGGTGGGGACAGTGACTAAGGTGGTTGAGTATGGGCCCCAGCTCTATTGCTGGCTAGCCAGTTGGACAGGGAAGAGGCACCGGGGAGCAGGAAATCGTGATCTACAGGACAGAGTTGGCAGGACGCCTCCTCCCTCTGACCCAGGGTGGAGAGTGGAGCTCTGTGTGTGGCTGAGACAGTAGAAGGCAGCAGGTCACCCAGCTTGGGTCACTGCCAACCTCCCACCTCTGTCCTCTAGCCCCTCCTGAACAGTCACAAGGGAGAAAGAAGAGGTTGTCAGGTTAGGGTCCAATGACACCCTCACCCCCTCTCCTCCTACAAAGGCACAATGACAGGCCAGCCCTGTGAAGGCCGTATGAGTGAGGGGGTCAGCTGCTAGGACTTAGATGGCAATGGTTATGTCACGGCTAGGACAGCATTCCATAATGTGGCCTAACTCTTTCTCGTCCCCTCCCCCTCAGCACCCCTGTAATGCTCCAGAGATCAGAAGCAAGAAGAAAAGCCAGTGAGTGCGAACGCCAGTGAGGTCTGCAGCTCTGGCCGGGCGAACGCTGGTGTTGGAGGCCAGGGGTCTGCACTCTTCCACCTGCTGGCTGCCGGGCACGGCCAGTACCAGGCTCTGATGGTTGAAACTGGCAGCCACCTGAGTCTGTGAGAGGGTACAGAACAGTAAGACAGAAGCAGCCCGGATCTTTGATAGAGTAGACACAAAGTATCAACCTGGACCACTTCTTACAGGCTGTCCCAGGAGAAAAGCTGTTTGATGCAAGTCAGAGCATCCTCTGTGTCTATGACAATAGCTGGATCTAAGATGATGTGTGAACAACAGTTCCCGGGAAGAACCCGAGTTTTATAAGCTGACTGACTGGTTATAACTTCCTTGATTATGGGAGCTTAGAGTGTTGCAAGTCCAGGGTCTAGTCACAAGTTATCTGAGCTATCTCGGCCCCTGGAATAGCCACTGTCTGACTCTCCGTCATCTAATGACCTGTGACTGTTAGGCAAATCATTTGGAATGTACAAACAGGCCCCTAGGTTCCACCAGCCCCAAAGCTAGGAATGTCACCAGACTGCGGCTGAATGGGGCCTCTAGCAGAGGCTCCTGCTGGACTATCACCCCCCCTCCCATGTTCCCAACAATGTACTTGAAAAGTGTCATCATCTGTGACTTTCTCTGAGCTGTTACTACAAAAATACCATGAAACGTCACCACATCAAGACATGGAATTTGGGGTGACCTGAATTTATTCTCAGTCCATGATATTTGGCTCCAGAAATAGCTCTTTCACCGTCCTCCCCCACTGAGGTGAGGACTGTCGTTTCCACACCATCAATTGAAAATATTGTAAGTCCTGAATACATCCAGGGGGCTAAGGAGGGTTTGGTGGGTACAGGGCTCGCTGGGAAAGCAGGAAAACTTGAGTGTGGATCTCGGGCACCAATAGGAAATGGTGATTGTGTTGGCAAGTAATTGTAATCCAGTGCAGGAGGCAGAGGCAGAGGGTTCCGGGTGCTCGATGGCAGATGGCAAGCCAGTCTACATAGCCACGGTCTCAAAATAGAAGTGGAGGGCTGAAGGGATGGCTCTGCAGTTCAAGGATGCTTGCTGCCCCTCTAGAAAACCAAGTTCCCAGCACTCATGTTAGGGCAGCTCAAAATTGCTTATAATTCTACTTCCAGTGGATTCAATACCTTCTTCTGGTTTCCAGGGTACACACACACACACACACACACACACAGAGAGAGAGAGAGAGAGACAGAGAGAGAGAGAGAGAGAGATAAACTTTCTGGACCTGACCAAGCAGGGTGGTGAATGAAATTCACCACAGTAAGGACTGAATGTCCTTGGCACAGGAGCCCAAGAGCCCGAACCTCTACCTGCAGCTGCTACTCAAGCTGTTCAGGTTTCTGCCCAGATGAACCAACTCCATTTTCAATCAGGTTGTGCTGAGAACACCACCCTGCTTTGGATGTTTGGGGGGAGGGAAGAGAGAAAATAGAGTGAAGCATGACACCTAGCCTCCGCACTGCTCACACACACACACGTGCACACATACACACGTGCACATTCACGCACACATGCACACGCGCACACACGCACACTCTCCCTCTCTCTCACACACATTCCTCTCTCTCTCTCTGCCTTTGCACTGCTCAGCCAAGCACCACAGCCCAGCCCACATACCTACTCTGGCATAGCAGCGGATTACAGGATCTAGCACAGAGCCTACTTGATGGTAAAGAGCCAAGTATCTCCTGAAACCTGCGGAACAGCAAACAGAGTGAAAAGTGGAAAGGCCATGTGTCAGGAAGCCACTAAGTTGATTAGCCAGGGACCTCTGTGTCGAGACTTGAGGAACCTGGAATGTCAGCCAGCCTTGCAAGGCCGCCCATCTTTTCCCTGGTTTGCACGGGTTTGGGGAGGTGTTTTTGTTTTTCAAAATATTTTATATCCTTGCTCATTTTGTCCCTTCTGCAATAAATCCCATTGTCCCTGCATGGACCCCTGAGGCACCTTGAGCAAGCCGGAAGCTGTTGGCTGGAACGTCCTGCACCAGAGTAGTTCTTGGTTCTCTTCTTGATTTGCTAACACACATCTGCTGGGGAGGAGCTGAGCCCGAGAATTGCACGCTTGACCCTTGATTGTTTTCCACTGTGCTGTGAGTCAGTGCATAAGCCCGCTCCTTCCCCTCAATAAACGGCATTCGGCATTCCGACATTCCTGTTGCGCAAATGATGCTGTCTTGTCTTTTATTTAAATCTCTAGGCCTTCGCCCAATTAGTGGAACAGATTGTAGTGCAGGCGCTACATCCCTTCATCCAGGAGTCTGCTCCAGAACAGCTGAGGCTCAAGGCTGTTCTGACTGTTGCATCTGCCTATAGTTTTCCCAAGCAATCAGCACATTCTACAGAATGAAAGAGGCTGGGGCTGACCTAGGGCTCCTGCTGCCCGGCCCAGCTTCCTGCCCACTGAGGGCTGTGTCTAGGCACCTGCTCAGCAGCTTGCCCAGTCAAGGGTTGATGGCTCCTGGCACACTCCAACATACACACCCTCATCGAAGCCACCTGCTCCATCTTCCACAGTGAAAGGGCACCACCTGGGATGTCTGTCTTTGCATCCCCTACCCCTGATTCTATTGTAACCACACAGACATTTATAAAAGGAGCATCATGGGAGGCCCAGCCGGTACAGAATAGAACTGTGTCATCGTAACAGCTGCGTCTCGAAGGGGCAGCGTTCTAAAAATCTGACGACAGTTCACCTGTGCCAAGGGAACGAGGAAGTCCCTCCCTCCGTCTTAGCCCTTACAGAA